CTTAGGCATTTCTGGACTACCTTTCCGGTCTAAGGCAGTCTCATTAGGAAACTAAAACTTGACTACTCGAAATTTACAATCGACCGAGGTATAATAAGTATATAACTAGTCCATTCCTAAAATGACATCAAAATCTATCATATCTAACCCACTTAGTGTCATGACCCAAAGTACACCCTAGACGTGAGATGGAGTATAAGACCTCGAGAGGACTTACACATGCCAGTTGACATACATACAACACAATATAATAGAAAATGCAAGAATTAAAGTAGAAAGTGTCATATCATAAAAGAGTTTGACATAAAAGCGGAAGTCTACTCATATCTTGATAAGACAATCTAATATATTAAAGTCGTAAGGACGTAACCTATACACCATATACAACATCAGAGAACAAAATACATAAGAAAAGTATATTAAATGTGACATGATCCTCGGAACATAAGGACTCACCAAATCTTCGGTGATCAATAGCCAACTAGCCACGTGCGGGAGGAGAAGAAATGTCGAACCCTACATTATAAAATAATGCAGGCACAAGTATGCATTAGTACATGGAATGTATTAAGTGTGTGGGATATGCATAAAACATATAACGTGATCATAAGAGGACATATAGGAAAAACATGATATGCATAACCAAGTTAAAACATAGTAAAACCTTTAAAGAATAATCATTAATCGTGAGCATGGTCAATTCACCTTAAAATCATATTGGAAGCTTTGTAAAACCTTTGAAAGAAACTTAGTTCATTTTGTGGGATATTTACCATTAATCGATATAGACCATGAGAGCTATAATGTGGAATTCGATGTCTTACTTGATACACCTAAATTACACCTCCCTAAAGAAGTATAAGCGGCTGTTGTTCAAATAAAGAATTTAACAGAGGTTAGGGTAGATCCCACAAGGAATAAGGTCTAGACTTAGGTCAATTAACTTGTTGATTGTACTTTTAGTCAGATTATCTCCGTAAAAGGGGGGTTTTGTAACACAAAATATTAATTGATTGATTTCACTAACAATTAATTAAGTAAACAAAATTTAATATTTTGTAAGATCAACATAAGATGAAACTAGGGTGTACGTGTTCCCCATAAGTTCTTAACGCAATAAACCTATAATAGTAACCCTTATCTAGTGTTTGACATGCAAAGTCGGTAAGTTAGGTATCTCCAAAGTGATTGGTTGTCCAAGTAGGGAATATCACCACTCAACTTGTTTGGTCTAGAGGTGTATGCTTATTAACCCTTTGTAATCATTTAAAATTTATTAAATGATTCGGATTAAATTAAATTCATGAATATTAGTCCAAATAAATATTATGGATTAATGTAATTGGGTTAATTATTTAAATCCAATAAATATAAATTTAATTAAAGCCCGCTCCATAAAGCCCATATGGCATGTCAATTAAATCTGATTGGCCGAAGGGAATCCTATTCCAATCACAACTCCCCTATTTCAAAACTATAAATAGGGGTCCTCATAATTCAGAAAAGAAGACCAAGAATTCGAACAAGAAGCTAGAGAAAGCTCGTGGATCAAAAGCCGCAATTTCTCTACAAGTTCAAGAATTCGAGAATTCAAGAATTGAAGAATTGAAGAATTCAAGAATTCAAGTGTTCAAGTTTAAGATTTGAAGAAGTCAAGATCAAGTTCAAGAACGATCAAGATCAAGACCACCAGATTCAAGATCAAGCTCGAAGCCCTTGAATTCAACTAGAGAGTCAAGATAAAGTTCAAGTTCAAGATCAAGATAAAGTTCAAGATCAAGATAAAGTTCAAGTCCAAGTCCAAGTCCAAGTCCAAGTCCAAGATCAAGATAAAGATAAAGATCAAGATCAAGATAAATCTCAAGTTCCAGATCAAGCTCAAGAGCCCTTGAATTATATTTGAAAAGGCGAATTCATATGAATCATAGAGATTGTAACACTCGCACTTAAATCTATAAAACAATTGTTGCATAATATTTCCATTCTTGATTATTGTTTTTTCGACGTGAATTTTACCGTCTACAAATTTTGGCATGCCCAGTGGGACAATCTCTACCTCTCATCTCAACTTTTCAAGCATCAAAGAATATCGAGATGAATTCCATGAAGAACAACTCTTGATCAACTTCTCTAAGGCCACTAGCTCCAAGTTCTCTACTAAAGTTGAAGGCATTTTGGGTGTTACCTTTGGACGTTTTGGAGGTGTTACGAGAAGCAAGGCTGCTACACTAGGAAAACACACACTTCAAGTGTCATCCGCATCAACTCCAATTTTTGGGTCTACGACTCCAAAAATATCAAGTTCCTCCGCAAACGCTTTAGAAGGAAGAAGCAGTGTTGCTGAAAAGATCAAGAAGACATTGGCTCTCCATGAGCAATCTGGTTCCAAGAACTCTACCACAAGGGAGAGCTATGATTCAACAAATGAGTCACCTCCACGTGCATCGCGTAATGTGACTCCGCTGAAGATCAACTTACGCGACAATCCATGCTACTCTCCTACATCTCCAATGATCATGCAAACAATGGTGGCTGTTGTTTCTTCCTCTGAGGAACAACTCGCAAATCTGACGAAGTTGGTTGAAGGATTGACAAAGCACAACACCAAGAGTCTAGAATCGATAAGTTGATGGATCAAATTGAAGGACTTTTAGATGGAGAAGCGAGTCATGCGCCCGAAAAATGTGTTGAAGTTCAAGAGATTGAAGATCCTACGAAGAAAGCACCGCTTGTTAATGAGATGCTAGTTTCTTCTTAAGGAATGATCCCACTCGATCGCTTGAAGGAGTTCATTGAAGGCACTATCAAAGATAAGTATGAAGTCTCCACCAAGTCTTCTCATATGTATGTCAAGCCATACACCGCAAGAATTGATAACTTAAAAATGCCTGCTGGTTATCAACCTCCCAAATTTCTACAATTTGAGGGTAGAGGAAATCCGAAGCAACATGTTGCACACTTTGTGGAGACATGTAATAATGTTGGAACATATGGAGACTATCTTTTCAAGAAGTTTTTCCGGTCTCTAAAAGGAAATACCTTTGATTGGTACACGGATCTTGAGCCCAATTCTATTGATAGTTGGGAGCAACTAGAGCACGAGTTTCTCAATTGATTCTATAGCACGAGCCGTACTATGAGCATGGTAGAACTTACGAATACTCATCAAAGTAAGGATGAACCAGCCATAGACTTCAAAAATCGATGGAGGAACGTGAGCCTGAATTGCAATGATAGGCTTAGTGAAGGTTCTGCAATAGAAATGTGTTTCCAAGGGATGCACTGGGAGCTTCTTTATATCTTAAAGGGAATAAAACCAAAATCCTTTGAAGATCTAGCTACTCGCGCTCATGATATGGAGTTGAGCATGTCTTTTGCCGGAAAGGATATGATGTTTGCCCATGACCTTCGCAAAGGAAGAGACAAGCAGGAACCTAACAGATGAAGCAAATTTGTGCCCAAGAACGACAACAAAGAGTCAATGAATGTTAATGTGTCGCCTGTGAAGGTCACTACGAAGGAAGGGAAGAAGCAAAGTGTGAGAACAAATTTCCAAGCGCGTTCAAACCAAAAATCGATCCTAAGGGAAATTCAAGAAAAGGAATACCCCTTCTTGGATTCTGATGTTTCTGATATTTTTGATGAGTTGCTTGAATTAAAGCTCATTGAGTTGCCAGAGATGAAGCAGCCTGATGAAGCTGGAAAAGCTGATGACCCAAATTATTGCAAGTATCATAGACTTGTGAGTCATCCTCTTAAAAATGTTTTGTCTTCAAGGATCGAGTGATGCGATTGGTTAGAGCAAAGAAGATTATCCTTGATGATGAGAAAGCTAGTTCTAATCAAATCTCCATCACAATCTGCTCGCTCGTTCCGGTCCAAATATGTATCGCTGAAAAGCATGAAGAAGAGTCATTGGAGCTAGAAAAATCTCAAGTTGATATAGATGGTGATGAAGGCTGGATTCTTGTGACTAGGCGAAGACGCAACAAGTGAAGCTTACGAAAAGAATCATGTGAACAACCAATTAGAAAGAAGATGGTGAAGAAACTGGTGAAGCAGAAATCAATAAAGCGCCCAAAGAAGGCAAAGGTAGAAGTTCATCGCTACCAGAAACCCCGACATCCTGTAATTCTAGAGGAATTCTTACCAAGTTAGTTGTGCACAGAGTATACTCAAGAAAATGTTGAGGCATCATGTTTTAATGATGATAAAGAAGAAACAATGAAGGTGTCTCCAACTGAAAAAGAAGGAACAACGAGAGAATCCTCACCAAAAATGTCTCCTAGTGGCGAAGAAAAAGCAACAAGGGAAATCTCGTCAATGATGTCTCTGTCATCTTCTGAAAAAGCCTATTGAACCTTCTTCCCAAGAAGCACATACATGTGATACAAAAACCACATTTACATATAATGATCTTCTATTTGGTGAAACACTACACAATCATCCTTTGTATATGGTTGGTCACGTGCTAGAGAAGAAGATAAATAGAATCTTGATATATGAAGGATCTGGAGTCAACATTCTGCCTATCCACACATTGAAGGAACTCGGAATCATAACCAATTTCACAACTTGTATGAAGTCTTCAAAACTCTCATCATGACTTGTAACTGTAACTCTTCAAATCCTGTAAAAAATAAAAGTAAAATCTATTTAGAGAATTATATAGATTAGAGAGTATCTAAAAGATAATATATTGGTGAGAAAAATTGGGATATTGTATCTTTCTTCCCCTTCAAATTAAACATGTCATCTTCATATATAGTCCAACTACATTCTTCAAATACAAATTGCAGGAAAGCTAGCTTGGTATCCAGTATATTACAAAATAAGAGTTTAAAACAAGAGCATTACACAATCTAGGGAAACCTCCAATCATTCTTCATGAATGTCCATGTTTAACATAAGAACTTCAATACAGATGTTCGTTAAAAAGCATTTATTTGAAAATATTAAAGTAATCATGAAATTCAAGAAAGAGAAAAAAAAATAAGGAACATTTTGAATGGCCAGTGATGAAAATAATTATTTTACTATTATACATCACTGTTTAAAATTGGTTCTATTGCTTTCTTTGGTGTGTATGTTCCTTAAGAACCAGAAAGCAACCATAATTTACACATAATGTAAACACCAGTTAAAATCATGAAGAATATTTGCATGGTCATCGATAACACTTGATATCACTTTTCAGGCATAAGTAAATAGAGAAATAAAGTACTATCTCAAGGAATTGAAAAACAAAATTAATGTGCAGCAGATACACATAAAAGTAGACTTACAAGGTAAGATGAAGCACCTAAAAGCCTCAAAAATATGTTCTGGTTCAAGTGTTTGTTTGTCTTCTCTAGTACAAACTTCATTGGATTCAGATGAGATAAAATTAATCAAATTCACACAATATAGATAAAGTCTCAAACACTTCGCAAATGAGAAAAAGGGAAAACGATCTTATGAAATTAATTTAAATAATAACTGAAGCTAGCTTAAGTACTCATAGAAGCTATACACATTTTATTTACTTAATATATTCAGAAAGGTCAGAACATGAAAGGGAAGATATATCACGAGCCAAAACATCTATGGAAGCAAAAACTTAGCACCAACAAACAATAACACAATAATCAGTCTTTATGAGAACTTATTTGTGTGAAGTGTGTAACCATCTCAATAGTTCATATCAGAAAGGTAACGAACATTGCTCATTGGTTTAAACGCCTGAAGTAGTCCACCAATAAGATATGAGGATAAGTTTTGAGCCGAGATAACACATGATAGTCTCGCCAAATGTCTAAGTTGCTTCACCATCCCATCTAATAGCTTAAGTTGTTAAAGAGTGTGCCCTTTTAAGTTCATACATTTGGACTTGTTGTTTTTAATAAGCCAAGCACATGAAAAATCTTTTTAATATAGGTTGCTGCAAGACTAAAACTCAAGTGCTCTACATGCTTTGCTAGTTGCTACCATGTTTAAGTGTGACCATCTCATCTAAAATCTAAATCTATTAAGAAAGTACACTTTCATTTACTTAATTACCTCTCAAAAACCTTAGACTTTATAAGGACTAGTAAAAATCCTTTAGCACATAACTTAACCAAATTGCTAAATATATCAGTAAATATCTGAGGATAACGCATGAATTCGATTCCATCGACCAGCTTATCAAGTGAAAATTGGTCAACTGGTATGGGTAGAGGGCCTACACCTTTGACATGCACCTTTTCACCCAAAAATGATTGGTCACCAAAGATAGGGGCAATAGTTTCTGGGCACTATAACCAAATAAAGCTGATAAGTTGCAAGTAAAACCAATAGATATTAGCAGGGTAATGAACATACAACATTTGAAACTCTATCACAACTTTTAGACCAATAGAACCCCCATGGGTGCACCAGAAAGGAAAATTATTGGGGTAATTCAAGGTTTTTAAAACTAGAATTCCTTAATCTTACACTTATCTCTACAACATTGACGTACAAGTCTTTCACTAGCCAAAAACTGTTGACTAGTGCGAGAGCTAATGTATATTTAAACAATAACTAAGACTTAACGTTAACTAGTTGGTATCATATATATAGGTCCTTTAGTTCCATGTTGTTATGTTGTTCTAAGCAAAATCAGTAGCTGTTTCAATGAGTAGAATACACAGTAATGGAGTTGGACAAATATTTCAGCTGAAGCACAACAATTCATCGAAATAAACATAATGTATTATTACGCAGTGAAAGAGATTTGAATTACCCTCTCGCTGCAAAGCAGTTCATAGCTTAACAACACGATAAACTATTAAGTCCCCAACTAACCAAACTCATAGTACTATTAAATGGAATATGACCTGAACTTGCAACAACATTACCCATCTGACCCATTATCTATTCACAGAATTGAAAACGAAATAGGTGGCACAAAGACTATGATGATAGGGGAATATGACCTGAACTTACAACAACAACAACAAAATATATAGAGAGAATCATTATTTTACACTATCTTATAAAAATGTGTACAGAGAATCACATGTATCTTATATCAACTTATGAATTGAGAAGTTTAGCACCACAAATCAATAAACTTGAAAGTTAAAAGAGACTTATCAAGTGTCAGTAGTTTGATTTGCACCTGCTGCAAGAGATGTAGAAGAGACACATAATGTAAAAAATTGTAAAAAGCTGTAATTGAACTAAGAAGTGGAAATTGTTACAACCAAAGATACTGTATATATCTAAATAATTGGACCCTAGTAACATTGAGAATATCTCCTCTTTTAAATTGTATTTAAAGTTGGATATCAGTACTCCTTCTCAGAATAGGATAACTTAAATGTTTTTGAAACTGGAAACTTAGAAGTTTATAAGAAAAAGGTATAAACTTTAGTATAAATTTTACTACTCATATCTCAATAAATTCTATTGAAAAGGTAGGGTAGAACACTGAATTTCTCAATTCTCTAACCTCTTTATTGTAAAAAAATTGAACTTTCTAACCCAAAACATCTCTCCTACAACTTTTCTACAACCTATATTTACTAACTTTTTATTTGAGAAGTCTAATTTTATAGTATAATCACTGTCCATTACTCTAAAAACACAACATCTAGTAAACAAAAGCAAGGACATCCCAAACTTAAGATGCAATAGAAGAATTCAATTCTAACGACCTCGTTAAATTTTCTTTGTTTCCATTCATTAGTTCTCCAATATAATACTGTAAGAAATCTGCAATTTTTTCCCAACCAAATAAAAATGAACCCATTAATGTTCTATTCCACATTTGAGATAAACAGAACATCAACATATTTAAAATCAAAACTCAAAGGCTACAAGGAGAACACAATCATAAAGTGTAAACAAATAACTTACTATACTCAAATTAAAAGATAAGATTTACCTCAAAAACGTTGAAATAAAGAAACAGAGGACCGTCAAAAAACACTGAGCATCCATAGACACTTGAAATCAATCTTCAGATTTGTGAGATAGAATTTCGGAGAGTTCTTGGGCTCATGGTCAAGTCCACACCCTGGAGAATACAAATAAGTGAGAGAAAATACATTGTAGAAACCCAATTGATTGAAAAATCGAAAAGCTACCAGAATGATTTGTATGTTTGTGTCCTTTCGTTATTGCTCGATCTACCCGGAACATAGATGAACAAAATAGAGGCAGAAGAGGAACGATGATTTTCACTCGCATAGAGAAGCGGTCTAGGGTTTTTTTGAGATGAAATTAGGTTTGAAGGATGATATTTGCTTTAGTTAAAGTACCCATTCCTGATTATTTTTTTTAAGAGCAATATTTTATTTTGGGTTTAGTCTCGCTCAATTTTGGATATTAGGGACAAGTTATTGATGATATTAGGGACTATATTTCATCCCTTCGCATTTTAGAAAAATAAATAAGAGAACTAGGGTCCGGAAAAAAATTTGGACCTTATAGGTACGCTTTTAAAGACAAGATATTTTACTCGTCGCTAAATGTTGGTCTTTGTTAAGCCTTTTTCTTGTAGTGTACATTCAACTTGAGATAATCCATGCAAGCTCTTCAACCAGTAACTGGCCACATCGGGACAAGTTTATTCTTTGAATTAAGAACTACATTGGTTCCTTCCTTCTTCGGCATGCATTGAACCAAACATACCCAATTACTGTCAACAATCAGATAAACTACTCTAGTTTCTAACCATTTGATAATCTTCCTCTTGAAAACTTCTTGCATCGGTGGATTCAATCTTCTACGCTGCTCAATAATTGATTTACTATCAAGTATGAGTTGGATCTTATGAGAATATATACTTGGTAGAATACCAATAATGTTAGTAATCATCCATCCAATCGGTCTTTTGAACAGCTTCAACACCAATATCAAAGCTTCTACTTACCTATCATTGAAATCAGTAGAAATAATGATTGGAAAAGTATTATTTTGGCCTAAGAAAACATACTGCAAATGGGATGGGAGAGCCTTTAGTTCCAACTTTGGAGGCTCATCAATAGATGGTTTTGGAGGTGGAGTTTCTTTTTTGTTTTAGATCTAAATTAAACTTCTCTGGTAAACAACGAGTATAATATACCCCATCAAGTGTAGGAACTAAATCATCGTACTTGTCAATTAACTCTCCATCAAAATTCATGATCACGCAGCTAATGCTTCAATACCTAATCTCCTCTTCAATTGACACATCTGGTTCCTGCTCAACAATATAATTCACAACAAACATTGATTTAAGATCACTTTGATTCTTCATTGATTTGCAGATATTGAATGTCACCTCTTCATTGTTCAATCAAAATTTCATTTACCCTCTCTCCATATGAACTAAAACACCCCCAGTAGCAAGGAATGGTCTCCCTAAGATGATAGGCACTTCAGAGTTATCCTCGACTTATATAAAAAAATCCATCACAAATATGAATGCCTCAACTTCAACTAGAATATTTTATAGAAGCCCAATTGGTTTCTTCACATTACGATCAACCATAAGTAATCGAATTATAGTCGGTTTTGGGGCTCCCAAGCCCAACTTCTTGAACATAGATAGCGGTATCAGATTTATGCTAGCACCCAAGACACATGGGGCCTTAGCAAAGTGTAAAATACCAATAGTACATGGAATAGTAAACGTTCCAGGATCCTCCTTCTTTTTGCACTAATGATCTAGTAGCAATGTCGCTACAATGCTGCAAGTTATCATCACCTTCAAAATTGACAACCCTATTTTTGGTCACTAGATCTTTCAGAAACTTAGCAAACTCAGGCATTTGTTCTAGTCTTTCAATCAAAGGAACATTTATCGATAATTGCTTCAACATTGATATGAACTTGCAATACTTCCTTCCTCATTTTCTTAACCAATCTTTTTGGGAAGGGAGGAGGAGGTCTGGCATTGGAATGATCTTTTGAATAACTTCTGCTTCTTTCTCATTCTAATATTTTGGGTGTTCCACTATTTCAGCTTCATACTCCTCTTTGGCATAGGAGGGTTAATAGTGTGTTTTCCACCTCGAGTAGTAACTCTCCTGCAGTGTCCATCATTCTTTGGATTATGAATAATATTGCCGAGAAGTGTTCCTTGTTGGTGCAGATTCACACTTGAAGATAGTTGACTTAGTTGTTGCTCTAATTATTTAATATATATTGCATGTGAATCTAACGTTTGCCCAATACTCGATAAATTAGTATGCATCTTTTCATCATCTTAGCCATCATATCCTCAATGCGATTTAATCTTGATCCTCCAAATCAATTTCTTGGACCACTCTTATCATTTCTATTATTATACCCATTTGTATTGTAGTTATTATCATGATTATAATTCCCTTCATGATAGTAATTACTGAAGTTCTAACGTTGATTTCCTTGACCTTGGTGCCAATTATCCTGATTGGTTGCTTTGGTGTTAGTTCGAAAACCCCTGTCTTCTCATTCAGAAAATTCACATCCTCTTCATATATATACTCATCAGCCGATGGTGCTCTATTATGATAATTTACTGCATTAACTTTTTCAACATCCTATTCACATGTTTCAATACTAATCCAACCTCTTTTCTCAATTGTGCCATCTTCTCACAAATATAATCATTGGACTGATTCTGTGTGGCTTGTATCGAGAAAATTCTCTTTGGAGCAGCCAAAGTTCTAGTGCTTCATGCTTTATTATTCTTGAAGATCTTTTCAAGTTTCTCTGCAATTTTCTGAAATGTGTTTGCCCCATAAGATCCTCTAGCAATAGTATCTAACACTGTTTTTCCATTGTTATCCTGCCCTCTGTAAAAGTACTCCTTGAGTGATTCATTATCAATACGGTGGTTCGGCATACTTCTCATTAAGCTAATAAATTTTTCCCAAGAATCACTAACCGACTCCCCTGGTAGAGTCGCAAAGTAATTGAGTTTATTCTTAAGCTTCAACTTCTTGGATACTGGGAAGTACTTCTCCAAGAACACTTTATTCAACTTCATCTATGTGGTAATTGAGTTATATGGGAGCTCAGATAGTCATATTGTAGCATCGCATATCAATGATAATTGAAACACACATAACCCGATCACATCCATGTCTAAGTTTGGTCTTCCCACACTATTCTTACACAAGATGATGACTTTACTAAGATGAAAATATGGCATAACCCTTTGGATGTAAGAATTTGCATCAGACTACTACAAACCACAAACGTATGTCTGGGTAGTAGTGGAGGAACAACTATGTCACCAATTGATCCCACATCATTACGTTCAACCCTGAAATTATCACTCACATTGGGTGCTCATTGATTTTGCACTCTCACAGGGTTGTTCTAGTTGTTTCCCAGTTCCTTCACTACTCCTGGAAGTTGAACTCTAGCAACATCCTTTTCACCCTCTCTGATTGGATCATCATCTAGTCCTATATTCCAACCTTGTTTGACCATTTATCATAGTGTTTTTTCTTGTTCTGGATTATAAAGGATCGAGAATTTCCTTGACTCCGTGTACTTGACATACACTTTGAATAAAACTTGTAGAAAATAAAAACAAAAATAAAACATAAATCAGGAAATAATTGACTAATAGTTTTTGATTTTCTTGCATCTTAAACTACCATAAATGGACACTCCAACCACTGGCTAGTCACCTCCGGCAACAGCTGACTAGTCCCAAGTAGCTACACCATATATATTATCATCACCAACCATAGCCAACACATCAATCCATGTGACTACACCTCTCAATTATCCAAATCTACTAAATCTGCAAATCTTGAATGAGGATTTGCAAAACGCTAAGACCATGCGTGCGATACGTTATAGGCCTGTTACATTGCTACATAGAGAGCCATATATTAAATGGTCAGAATCGGAAGTGGATGCGATGGATGTCATTGAAAACCTTCAACACACACAGTTGTAGGGAAGTTCTCGTATGGATGGCCATAATTGGAAGAACTCAAGAGCATCATTCCTATACAATATAACATAAAGGGAGATTGTCAAATATGGCTATTTCATAATATATACATATTGATAAGACTATCATTAAAGGAGGATTTCATCAATGTAATGTCTACAATGGCATTTGATGGGTTGGGGATTTTGACTCATTTAGGGCATAAATTCAAAGATTTAGCTTCCTTAATGCCTATTTATGCTCTAAACTGATGATAAAATGTTAATTTACAGAAATGAAGGCAAAAGAGCAAGACAAGGGCATTACGAGGTAAAAAGGAGCAAAAAATCAAAAAAAGTTGAAGGAAAGCAAAGCTGGTACTCGCCAAAGCCACTCGATGACTCACCGAGTGGACATTCAGCTTGCCTAAAGTTCCAACATGCTAGACCATGGACAAAACCAACTTACTTCACTGAGTGACTCCGATCCTAAAATTTTGGGAACGTATTAATGTAATTTTCAAAAGACAAAAAGAGTTCCCAGATTGTCCAATTCTGGGTTTTTGATACTAGGCATTCTAAACATTGTTCTTACACTTTTTGAGTAGAGATTTAGGGTTTGTTTGATTTTTAGCTTCAATTTGAGCATTTGGAGACTTGTGGATTGTTGCCCAACCTGATGGTAAACATAGTTGGTATCAATTTCTTGTTCTTTATTATGTTTGGCTAAAACCCCTATTCTTGGGGGTGTGATTATGTAGTTGAATGTTTCAATTAACTTATGGGTGTTAGTATTTACTAATTTTATTGTTGATTTGAAGTGGGTTCAATTAATAGTTTGAGTTTTAATTGATGAATTGTAGTCGCAAATACAATTCTAGTTCAGTTCCCTAAGATTGCTTGAGAAAGGAGTTGTACAGTTAAAACTATTAGTTGATGATTGTAGTGATTGTGTTATTGTAGATTTAGCTTGAGAAAGTGGGTCTAAATGCAATCCTACTAATCTAGTTTGAAAAAGTAGATTGATTAAGGTATCAAGATGTTTTTATGTGTTGTACTTGTCGAGGTTTGAAAGAACTCCCTTGATTCGTGATAGTTGATTGAGAAATAGTTGTTGCACCTAAAGCCTAGTCTACCCACTGAAGTTCAATGACTTTTAGTAAATAATAATCACCCATTTAGAGAAATTGGCATTCAATTTATCACACTTCCAAGAAACCCTCTCTTCTTATTTACTCTTGGTTATTTGTAGTTATTAATTGTTCACCCAAATCCCCCCATTTGACATTAATTGTCAAACCCTTGTCATTTACTTTATTTGTTGCGAAAATGTTTACATCTACAAGCGATTAGAATACTATTTTACTTCGTAATCAAATTCTTTACAATATGACTCCCTGTGGGATCGACCCCAACGCTTATTTGGGTTTATACTTGTTAGCGTCCGCCTACACTTAGAATTAGATGAATTGTAGTTGAGCGTTATAAAAAAATGGTGCCACTGCCGGGGAGTGATGTTTA